GCGAAGCCTCTTCCCATCCTGCCAGGGGCATGGGTGCCTAATGGGAAGGGGGGCAAAGGGGCTTCCCCTCCCCCAGACCAGTCATGGTCTGGGGGTGGGGTAGCCGAGAAGCATCCTGGCCCCACCCCTTCCAGTTTAGGCCCCACCCCTTCTGGGGTGGCCCAGGGCCACTTCAAAAATTTTATAAGTGGTCCCCGGCCAAAAATTGTTGCCCATCCCTGGGCTAGCTCTGCTCTGGTTAGCGCCTAGAAGATACAGCAATAGGGTTACAGTGGCACTGCCGGCACCTTGGACCACCTGCCCGAGAATTGATGTAGGGGGGTGGGTGGGAATATCCAGCACCAAGTGCGAGCCACCGCCTTGCAACTGCAGCTACCCTGCTCATTTCGCTTTGCCCGTGCAAGGTGGGCATTGCGCCTCCCGGCTGCAGCGCACACGTACCCTGCGTGTGCCCTCGACACGACACTTCTCCGCCCGCACTGCCTCGTACAACGGAGAACGTCACCTGGTCACCGGGACGGGCGGCTTTGAAGTGACATGCCCCATGCGGGCACTAACCCCGGCTCTTCAGGTTTTATTATCTTAGCCATGCCAGGAGGAAGAAAAGCCTCTTCATGCTGATAGTGGGAGCTGTAAGTCTGCAAGCTCTGACCTATATTATGCTCTGAGATGAAATTTAATTATGTAAATGCTTAATCAGGCAGCTACTTGGCTTCCCAAGTAACCAATCCCACATCGTAACATCTATCCAGTTCTGCCTTGGCTTATTAGACTGTTTAATGGGCCCTCAAAGCCGGGACTTCCACTGGAGCCAAAGTGGAAAGGGCTGGAGATTTTTTTTTGTTTCAAACCCCAAGGGCGGGCAGAACGTGTCCCTGGGGTTGAGATGCAGGACTGGGAGTCAGGCCACACGGGTTCTGCTCTTAGTTGAGTGAGTGAAAATAAGGATCTAGGCTGACATGGGTCACCTAGTCCCTACTGAAATCGTTGGGAGCGAAGAGCCTGAGTACCTGGGAGGCTGTGCATCTTAGCCTCTCCCTGATACTGACCTAGCTCATAGGAGGGCTGGAACACGTTAGCTCTTTGGCTGGAAATTGCTTAGGGGCAGTGATCCCCGGACTTTTTACCTTGTGCCCCCCCCAACCTCTGTCCAAGCACCCGCCCCCCCCTGTGGAGACGGGGGTGGGGCTGGGAGCAAAGCTTTGCCCAGGGGCTACCCTATCAGCGAGATCCTGGGCACAGATCCTCAGGGGTGTGAGTAGCAGCTGGAGCCCCAGGCTGGGAGCAGGTGCATCCCACAGTTTGGGGTCCTCTGCTCTAGGGGGCAAAATATTATGGCCCAAAGGATCTAGGCAGACTGACAGCACAGAGGACCGGCCATGTGATTTTAAAGCATGTGGCTAGGACGGACTCATTCATGTCTTGGGGACCAGTCCCTTCCTTCACATGAATACGCCTGCGTGTGAAGGGGACAGTTGAACCCGGAGAGTCTGTGTCATTTTCTTACATTTCACTGGCGATCGTTCAGGCCAGGTCACGTCAGTGAGCATGACTGTCTGCGTCTACGAGATCTTTGGCCACCAGCAAAGAGGAACAAGGAAATACTCCACTTTCCACAGAGCACAGCTAGTCAGGGGAATGGATCTGAGGGTCTGGATTTGTCTTTACCCATTATTACCGAGCTGGTTTGGATTTTTAGTTTTCTTCTGTCAATTGTCAATGACACTAGTTGGTAGGACAAAGCGTCCTGTAAGTGGGGTGCAGGTCACAGGCTCCAAGCCCCAGTGGAACGGCAAGCGCTAGAGGAGCAATCATTATCTCCTCCTTTTGCTTTTCTCCCCCACAGAGAGAAACCGCTCCACCTCATTCTGTGTAATTTAGCCAGTCGGGAGCCAGCCTGTCATCTCAGGCTATGTCTGCACTACAAGGCTATTTCGAAATAACAACTCCAGAAATAACTCTGTTGAACTAGCACATTTACACTACAGGGAAGCTTTGAAATTAGTCCGAGGCAGGCTCTGTTCATGTGGACGCACTACCTCGACTTAGAGCCCCGGGGAGCCCTGGCGAGTAATTACTTTGAATGACTCTGGGGAGTAGTTATGTCAAAATAACAGCTGGGGAGCATCCACACTTGACCCTATTTTGAAATAGCTATTTCAAAATAGGTGTTATTCCTGGTAGAATGAGGAGCTATTATTTCACTATAGCACACCCGTTATTTTGAAATAATTTCAAAATAACAGGCTTGCTGGGTGGACACTCACCTTGTTATTTCAAAATAACTCAGTAGTGCAGACATGCCCTCAGAAATACTTTAATCATTCTTAGCCTGCGTGTTGAGAACCCTCTTTGGCCTTTTTAATAGTTTAGCTGTCTTTGGCTCTTTAACATCTTGCTTGGATTTATAGCATCTATTTGATGATGATGATGATAATGATGATATTATATATGGTCTTATAATTTTTTGTGAGGGCCGCCCCCCTACTACCATAGGTGGCGGGGAGGGGAGTGCATGGGGGGAGTGTTTATGTAATACCTCGAGCCCATGGTTATTTTCACAGTCAGTTTTGTTGTTTCCCTTAGAAGCAGCTAATGAGGTGACAAGTCTAAAAGGATATAGGGGAACAGTGGCAGAGCATCCTTCTGGTGGGGACACCAGATTAAACTGGTCCCTGAAATATTGGTCAGACTGCATCTGTTGCAAAGCTCACACACCAGGGTATAGCACTGTTCCCTATACGCTGAGTGCTTTGACAGCCACCCACTTGATTAGCAGAGTGCCCACAGCTGACAGCAGGTGTTTCTACTGGTGGTGCACACCTGCACATGCCTCAGTGCACATAACAAAATTTATTCCACATGTGGATGGGAAAAAACTACAGCGAACATTGGTGTGCAGTGAGGAGGGTTAGCACTGTTGTTAGTATCGGTGGAAAAGCTGATCCTGACTTAGCATATTGGAAAGAAGACAAGGGGAGTGGGATCGGAATAGTCAGGGTCTGTTCACATATTAGCGCTCTCTGGTTCTCTTGCGGTACATGTGCAATGGATAGTCCTTTGTTCTCAGCTTCATGTGCCTTTTTTGCCCCCTCGCCAGCGGGCGTGCAGCAGCACCAGTGTGATTCTGAGCTGAGGAAAGAGATCTCTCTGGTCTGGCCCAACCTGTCCCAGAAGACATTGGATTTGTTGGTGCCTCCCCATAAACGTAAGTGCCGCGTAAGAAACCTCTTGCCCCTAGAAGCAATGCAGGGACATGAACCTGAAAACCCATTCCAGGCAGTCACTAAAGTCCAGGTCTTTCCCCTTCTGGGGATGTTCCCCAGAGCCCAGCCAAGGTGCACACAGCAGTCTAGATGCTACAGGGCAGGAGCCCATTTCATCTTCGGCCTGGACCATCCAAGCATTGCCTCCAGAATGCCCACAGCCCCATGTCCCCCTGCCTGACTAGTACAAACCCCTCACTCACTCCCAGGCATCATGTCCTAGTGCCTCTTGCCTGAGACAGCAGATTCTTTGCATCATGGAGCAAGATAATACACACTGGCCAGAAGAGAGCACTGCCTTGTCCAGCCTCTTCGAGAGACATTTCTGTGTTGTGCACAGTCCTGCTTCCTGTCGTTTTAACTGCTGCCAGTCTGGCTCCAGTTTCTGCCTTCTAGACTCTGTCTGCATCCAAACAAAGTCAAGAGAAGGATGTTAAAGAGCCCAAAGGCGTAATCTCCCCTAAGGATGGCCTGCAGGAGCGCACTGAGAAAATGGAAAGTTTGAAATTCTCTTGATTGACAAAAACAAGGGCTCTGAGTCCCCTGACTTTCTGATTATGAAAAACAGCCCCCTCCAATCAGGGCAGCATTAACTGTGGAAGGTATGGAGCCATGACGATGGACTGACAACGCAATGGCTGCTTCTCTCCTTCTCCCTCCCCCTGCACACACCCCCCTCCCCCCAGCAGATGTTGGCATATCCCGGAACTTTGCAGCCCCTTGCTATAAGACAAGTGCTAAGTGGCATGGCAGGGACAGGTCAGTGGCATGACTGTAAAACAAAAATGAGCCAAAAAGCCATCTGGAAAAATGAAATACCATTTAAAGGTATATTAGCCTATTAGACCCCTGTTGGTAATAGAAAGAAAAATCAGGCTTTTCTGATCATAAAAATGCTGGCTTCAGATCTGGTATTAATTTAAATGTTCTGTTCTGTCCCCCATTCTTACAGCGCCACATGGGTTTGCTTGCCTAGGGCACCCTTTCTATAATATATCCCTAAATATTTTCCATAGAGGGCGAGGCTAGAGGGCTGGGTGGCTTTAAAACACTGGGCACCGTGACCCTCAGAGAGATGGTCAGGGACGGAAGGAAGGAAGGGAAAAGATGTGAACCTGAAGAAGTTTGTTTTAACTATTTATTTTCTTCTCCCCCCCCCCCCCAT